ATATTGAAACTGTAAAAAACAGTTTCATGTATACGCGCATTCACTAATGAGTAATGACAACTTATAAGCCATACATTTTCCGATAACGACAGAACGCTTGTGTAGCCTTTAGTCGCTCTTTAATAGTGACTAATAATTTTTTTTGAGGGGGGGCAAAATGGGGGGGCAAAAAATAATTTTGGGGGGGCATTTGCCCCCCCTTGCGCCGCCACTGGCTTTATGTCTGTTTATAAAACGAGACCTCAGGAGTCAACCTGTTAAACATTATTACACTAGACAGTTCACACTTTAAAGACCGTCGTAATCCTCGTATATGTGACTGAATATCGATCAAAGCTTCGTAGTTTGTAACCAAATATTTTGCGATTGTGAACCGTACAGCTTGCTAAAATTAGTAAAATAGTGGAAAATTTTACACTTTACCATGTGTATTGCATAGGAAGTTTTTTTATTAACAAATAGAGTGTCTGTTTCGTCGTTATGCTTATCATTTTCATGTCAAATAAGGTAAGTCTAAATATTAAAAAATTCAAATGAAAATTTGTCTCTTTAATACCCTTTGTAAATCCACATTCAAGTCTCGTCTTTTCCCACATTTCTTGAGGTTTTAAATTTGTTTGTCGTCTTTCACGGGCGAGAATAACATGTACGACTTGCATATCTTTCTCCAAATAATCAAAGATAGAAAATTTATATCGAAAAAAATTTAAAAACCGATTCAAAACCACGAGAACTATAATATCTGCAAATTTTTTTTTGCAAAAACCAGGGGGGGGGTGAAAACGGCCGTGGGCTCAGAATTGAGCCTGGTCAGTGGTACCTACCATGAGAATTTCGGAAGTGTTGTCATGGAAATGGCGTCATTTTCACTCAAAATCCGCCATGTTTTTGGCGACACTTTGTTGACTGAACGAAGTATAGGAGCAGGTCCTCCAGTTATTATACAGCTCAGTGCTCTAATCCAGTGAACTCTAATAATAACTGGAAGGCTAAGTCAGGGGGGGAAGTTGAAGCCGTGCTCATTGAACTATAAATAAACATTTATAGTTCAATGGCCGTGCTTGAAGCTTTTTTTGTAGGTAGACCCAGTCCTTTTTAATTTTTTTTTTCAAAATATGCACATTTTTTGATCAGAAAAATCTTGCCCCAAAATATTAGTTACACTACCAAATTTAATTTATATCAGTAGTATTATAAATGAATTTAATATTCGCAAAGCAAACAAATCACGAATTAGCAAAAAAATGCGAAAAACACGACCATAAGCATGAAC